GTGTGTGTGTGTGTGTGTGTGTGTGTGTGTGTGTGTGTGTGTGTGTGTGCAGATGTGTGCTTTATGACCATGTCACCATATGTGCCTGTTCTTTACAGATAAATACAGTGTATGTGCTCATCTGTGTACATTTTTCTGTGTGTAAATGTTTACATGGGGACAAAGATTGTACGGTATGGGCCAACGGTTATTGGATTATATGCACACTGCCTTTATATGTGTGTACAAATCACTACACAAATGACAGGATTAACAATTTTCTGCTTTAAACAGCTGTCAGTCTGCAATCAGTCAAAGTGGGTCGTGTTCAGTTCACACTGGTTTGGAAACTAAACATCTCTAATTGGAGCCTAAATTTAGGTTCTTGAACTACTGTTGGAAAGATCAGATCTGCTGCTCGTGGTTTAAAGTTGATGTAAAATATTTATACACTTGTCACTGTTAGAGGAAGTAAAAAAAACTTCAAACCTTAGACATTTAGTCCATGGTTTAGAAGAGTCGCTGTGTCTTTGTGAGTGGAAAACCAGATAGAGAAACATTTTTTTTCCCCCAAAGAGCCATTTTGGCTTAGTTAAAGAGCCACACATTGAACGAAATCAAAGGCACAGTTAGACATGAGTTACTCTGTTTTTCTGTTTAATTTTAAGTTATAATATCTTTTTAAATTAAAGGGAAAACAAGGCAAATATGCTTAATGACATTTTAAGTTATCCCACCCCAATAATAAGTTTGTAGCATTGTTTTAATATATAGTCAATGCCCTCCATTATTTTCCTTTCCTATCCAATGCACTGCCTGTGATCTTTTGTTTTTTATGTGGGGATGCTAGCAGTAACAGCTAACTTCAACAAACATGCAACACCCAACACGTAGTGCTAGGGCAGCCTAAAATGTCAAGATGAAGGCTACATTAGACTACAGCTAACTTAATAACCACTACTAAGTAAATTAGCATTTTACAGCAACATAATGCCACGTTAACACAGCCACTAAAAACAAGTTAGCTAGCTAACATATATACCTCTGACCAAGACACTGCAGACACCAGCATTAGCAGATTGCAGGTGTAGGTTTAAAATCCACTTTTTACGGCATTGCTCTTTGAGCTTTCTACATTTTGTGTTTGACAAACCTTTTTTGTGTGTGTTTGACAATCTTTCATATTCAATAAAACCTTTTTTCCTTTTCTCTGTTTGAACTATTGGAACAGCCGTAATCTATACAAAAGTGGGCATTTTCCCAGATATCAGATCCTCAGCTATTTAACTTCTCGCCCTCCAACTGCATTTCAGGCTCTTGTACTGAATTGTGATGTCACTTGAAACCAACGTATTCTATGTAAAAGCTTTTTTTTTTTTNAATGTATGTACAAATAAAAAGTAAAACTGAAAAATATATATTTTAAAAAACAGTCAAATTTGAATTGTGTTAAAAAATATAAATTAAACGAGAATTAAATTACAAAACATGAGGTGAAGTTCTTTTTTAATTGAATTGGTGCATTTTAAGTGTATTTATTTATTAGTGGTTTATTTATATATTTCTACTTTTATTTATAATTATGTCAGTGTCGGTCCTCCATACTGCAGAACTTGGAAGGTAAATCAATGACTGAATCAGGTGTGTTGGAGCAGGAAAAACGTAAATCATGTAGGGCTGCGGCCCTCGAGGACCAGGATTGCCCACCCCTGATCTATATAAAATCATCAAGTTAAGCAAAACAGTCACATTTAACAATCTTTACATTTCTTCTATCATAAGACTATACCATGTGTATGTAATTAAAATCAGTATATAACCTAAACCCCAAAAAATGTCTTCAGATGAATGAAGTTTGGTGGCGATGGAGAGACTGCAAGAGTGGGAGAATTTAACATGCCACACACCATACACTAACCCCGCCCCTTTCCGCCCTTATAATATAAAGTATACAGTATAAAAAAATGAATACCGCCCAGCTTTAGTTAGTACCAGTTTGAGGTAAAAATGACAAAAATAAATCCTTAATTAACATCTTCAGTCATACATTAAGTGGTATTTCTTTTCATGCATTTAGTTGCCAGAATCCAGAAACAGTTTTCCAGGTGGTTTACATATTAACTGGTCTTTAGTGCTCCTTCATTAAATATTTCTCTGTCTCTAATGATCTAATTAACCAAGTAAAAATACTGACATGCTGTATTGTCTGGAGGCATGTGACGCCCTAGTTAACTTTCATCCATGTTACTGGATGAATAAGTTTTATGTTTGATGTTTTAACTGAATGAGACATCTACCCTGAGGAGGCATCTTTCATTGAAACCTGACAATGTAGATATTATAAAACAGTGAGACCTTCAGCTGAGCTAATTATGTCATAGGCGTATTTCCATCATCAAGGTCCCTGATAAATCATGATCATTTTTGAAAATATTTCATACTTTTTTAGGTCCTAACAGACAAGAAAGTGAACTAATTATGCTTTTGAATGAGAGTTTGAACGTTTTCAAGAACACAAAATCGACCACCATGGTGCCAAACCTTTATCTGTTCTGGGAGTCCTTGCTGCAGATCTTTGCAGCTGTTTTCAGTTCAAAGAAAAAGCAAAGTCAAAAGTGTGAACAAGTTTGTTCTTGTCTTATAGCCTTTTTGTTCCCACCTAAACTGTGTTTCCCTCCTATGATCTCTTGTAGGTACCTTTTGTGTCTGCAGCTGCGTGAGGATGTGGCTTCCGGACGGCTGCCTTGTTCGTTCGTCACTCATGCTCTGCTGGGGTCGTACACACTGCAGGTGCATCATATGTCCTTTATCCTGTGTTTTTTAGTGTTTTAGGTACATAAGTGCACAGTTTATCCAAGTGTTGGTGTCAGTTTTCAGAAATAGTTTAATTTCATCATTTAGGCCGAGTTTGGTGACTATGAGCCTGACCAGCCTCGCCCTTTGGACTTCATCAATCAGCTGACTTTTGAGCCCGGTCAGAACAAAGAGATGGAGGAGAAGATTCTTGAGCTCCACAAATCCCACAGGTCAGAAACAGCAGGTTGTCAGAAACTCTCAGCGAGGGTTTCTCAGTAGCAAGTGTGAGTTTTTCTATTTGTTTTCCCAGCTGCGTTTTAACCCTCTGACTGCAGTTCATATTTACTGTATCCTGCTACGGTTTGTGAAGCAAAAACAACGGGCTTTTTCTTTCTTCAAAGGGGCATGACTCCAGCCCAAGCTGACCTCCAGTTTCTAGAAAACGCCAAGAAACTGTCCATGTACGGGGTGGACCTGCACCACGCTAAGGTACGAATGCATGAACGAATCCTCTCTCGTGCTTCTCTCTTCCGCTCCCCACCCCATTGTTGTTGACATCTGGGGATTAGCACAGTTCCTTTGATGTGGGGAAAGCATGTCAGTGTGCCTGCATGTTTGCGCTGCTGTGTGTGTGTGTGTGTGTGTTTGTGTCAGATTTACACAAACTTCTCAGGAGGAGTCCTTTGATCTCTCTTTGAGTTGGGATTGTACTTTTATGTAATGATGAACATCTGAGCAGTTTGTTGCCAACAGTTTACTTTGAGCTTGAGCTGCAACTGTGTCAGGATAATCTTTGTCTCTTGTTTTGACATTGTGTGTGTCATTCAGTGTAAGGGATAGTAGAATGACARAGAAGCTGATAAAGTAAATTTGAATAATGCTGTTGAATGGTTGAAAGGCTACACATTGAAGAAAAAAACATGCAAATTTAATGAGGGAACAACATGCATCCAAAAAATGATGCTGGATGAAGTTAATGTTTTGTCTGTCAATTTTTACGTCTAAATCGAAAAAGGAATTTGTTTCACTTTTGACATCAGACTCAAAGTGATGGGAGGGCAGGCAGAGAGGATTTAGACCAGTTTGTGAACCTCTGTTGTGCGTGTGGTTCTGGTTAATGTTTAACTTCAGTGCTCAGGTTTTCTCAGTCATTATAGGCCTGGGTGCCTCACTGAGCTCTGCCTTTTAGAACCATTCTTTCACTATAAAGACAGCAGGCCTGTTCAGGATTCATGTAGTTTTGATAGATTTTAACAGAAACAAAGTGTTTTTCCACAAGCAAAAAGGAAAAAAAAAAACCCATAAATTACTAATTTAAAAAATAAATAAATTGTCAAGTCATGTTTTTCAGTCGAATTTTTGTTTTGCTTTTTAAGAGAATATTAACTAATAAAAAAAATAAGTGTACATTTTGTGTAATTTTAGCTCCTGTGGAGTTTCTCTTGGCGGCGTCTGTGTGTAAGGTAGAGGGTTTGTGCTTGTGTGCGTAAAGAAATAGTTGCACTGCGATGCCAGATTTTCTCAGATTAAATAATTCATATGACGTGATCTCCATTGTTTTCCAGTTTGTTGCACATGTGTGYAGGTTTTAGTGAGTGGAAACGAGGACAGATGGAGTAATGATGCTATGGTCTTTTGTTGGAACGAGATGATAAAATGAGAAATGGATGTGGGCTGCATGGTGTTGAAGACAGCAGTGATGACATTGATCTTGTTAAACAGAAAGATTACAGTGACGTCAGAGGACTGTTCTTGGTTCTATCCTTGCTTCTTAAACCCATGCAGATCACCGTAACTAGGGGTGTAAGAAAATATCGATACACTGAAATATCGTGATATTTCATTTCCCAATACTGTATCGATATTCTAAAGC